ATTTATCAAAACCGTCTCCATAACCTTCAGAGCTGACCTCTCTGCCTTGAATTTAACTGGACCAACAGACCCCCTTGGCAGTCATTGTTTTGAGTGGACCTTGCTCTCTGGATTGTATTGGTAAATCCAAAGCTTATCTCTCGTTACAATTCATTCCATCTTGCTTAAAAGACAGAAGGAAAGGTCTGCTCTATGAGCAAGTTGATCTTCATGTAACGCTTTTGGTAATCATTGAGCCGAAAGTTTGCTGAGGCCAAGACATTCGCTAACAATTGAAAATACCAAACAATGTGAAATCCCAACTTCAGCCACAGTTACTTCATTTATCAAGATAGACTGTCTTGCATCTCTTGGCTCATCTTTGAGGTCTTTCCAACCTTATTTAACATGATTAATCCATCTAAAATCCGTGGTTTTATGTGGGACAGAATTCCTGTAAATTTACTGCAAACCTACAATGACTTAGGAAGATTTCATTTGAGTTTTGTTAAAAATTTTACATTAGGCCTGACCTCAAAATAGTTTTTTTCCATGGCACTTAAAGTATCCTTTTTTAGAAGGCATCCTAATGAAAGTAAGACAAATATATTACAAAAGAACTTGTTTGCAGCCATCCAATGATCACAGAGAAATCTTTAAGCATATTTTGTTTGGATTAAATTTGTGTATGTTGAACTGGAACCCTAGTAACAATGTGTTTTGACTTACTCTCACACAGGCAAAATGCTCCTTAGATGGATTGCTAGACTTGTTATGTTATCAGGATGTTCCTGGAGAAAGACATTACACTTGACTCTGAGTCTGAACCAATATGATGGCTCCTAACAACAGCAACGGATTGTAGTTTTTATTGTTCTTCTTAGGTGTCATTGAGTCAGTAGTGACTCATAGCAATTCTATGCACAACAGAATGAAACTCTGCCCAATGCCAACATCTCAATATATTTGAACCCTTTGCTGCTGCCACTGTGCCAATCCATCTTGTTGTGGGTCTTCCTCTTTTTCTCCAACCCTCCACTTTAGCAAACATGATATCCTTCTCCAGGAACTGGTGCCTCCTGATAAGATTTCTGAAGTATGAGAGATGACATCTGGTTATCTTGGCTTCCAAGAAATATTCTGGCTGTACTTCTTTCAACACAGATTTGTTTGTTCTTTGGCAGTCCGTGGTACTTTTAATATTCTCCTGAAACAACATAATTCAAATGAATCAATTCTTCTACAGGCCTCCTTATTCACTGTCCAAATTTCACACGTATATAAGATTATTGAAAATACCCTGGCTTGGGTCAGGCTCACCTTAGTCCACAAACTTATGTCTTCACTCTTCAACACTTTAAAGAGGTCTTGTGCAACAGATTTGCCTAATGCAATATGTTATTTTATTTCTTGACTGCTGCTTCCATGAGTGTTGATGAATGATCCAGGCAAAATGAAGTCTTTGACAACTTCTATCTTTTCTCCATTTATATGGATGTTGTTTATTGGCCTAGTGGTGAGTATTTTTTATTTCTTCACATTGAGGTGCAACCCATACTGAAGGCTGTGGTCTTTAATCTTCATTAGTGAGTATTTTAAGTCCTCTTCACTTTCAGCAAGCAATCATCTAATCATTTACCTATTACAGGTTGTTAATGAGCCTTCCTCCAATCCTGATGCTACATTTTTCTGCATATAATCCAGTTTCTTGAATTATTTGCTCAACAAACAGATTGAAAATATATGGTGAAACCCATTCATACACCTTTCCAAATTTTAAACCATTTGGTGTCACCTTGTTCTGTTGGAAAAACTGCCTCCTATTCTATGTACAGGTTCCTCATAAGCACAATTAAGTGTTCCAGAATACTCATGCTTTGTGATGTTGTTCATAGCTTATCATGATCCACGCAATCAAAAGCCTCTGTATAGTCAAATAAAGCACAGGCAAACATCTTTCTAGTATTTTCTGCTTTCAGCCAAAATCTGTCTGACATCATCAATGATATCTTTTGTTCCATGTCCTCTTCTGAATCTAGCTTCAACCTCTGGAGGTTCTATGTCAATGTATGGTTGCAAGCATTTTAGAATTATCTTTAGCAAAATTTTACTTGCATGAAATATTAATGATATTATTCGATAATTTCCACATTCCTTTGAGTCACCTCTGTTTGGAATAAATATAGATATCTTCCAGTAAGTTGGCACAGATTAGTGAATGCTTCCAGTGCTGCACCAGTTTGTTGAAAGATTTCAATTTGTATTCCATAAATTCCAAGCACCTTGTTCTTTGCCAACACTGTCAATGCACCTTGACTTCTTCCTTCAGTATCATTGGCTCTTGATCATATTCTACCTCTTGAAATGGTTGAACATTGACCATTTCTTTTTGGTACAGTGACTCTGTGTATTCCTTCCATTCTCTTTTCATTCTTTCTGCATCATTCAATATTTTGCCCATGTTGTTGTTGTTAAGTGCTGTCAAGTCGGTTCCAACCCATAGTGATCCTGTATAGAGTTTCCAAGGAGTAACTGCTGAGCTTGAACTGCTGACAATGCAGCTCAAATGACTTTGCAGTCCATCATATTAACCCACAGTGCCACACCAATATTGCAAGCCGAGGCTTGAAGTTTTTCTTCAGTTCCCTCAGGTTGGTTTTCTAACTCCAGGTCTTTGCACATTTGTTTATTATATATGACTTTGTTTTCTTGAGCTGACCTTTGAAATTTTCTATTCAGCTCTCTTACCTTCTCATTTCTTCCATTTACTTTATCATTTCTACGTTGGAGGGCAAGGTTCAGAGTCTCTTCTGACATCCGTTTTAGTCTTTTTCTTCTTTCTTGTCTTCTTAATGACTTTTTGCTTTCTTCCTGTATGATGTTCTTGATGTCATCCCACAGCACTTCTAGTCTTCTGTCTTTAGTGTTTAATGTATCAAATCTGTTTGTTCTTCAGATGATCTCTAAATTCAGGTGGGATATGTTCAAGGTCATATTTTGGCTTGTGTTGGCTTGTTTTCATTTTCTTCAGCTTCAGTTTGAATTTGCGTATGAGTAATTGATGGTCTGTTCCACAGTCTGCCCTGGCCTTCTTTTGACTGTTTCCACAGATGTAGTCAGTTTGATTTGTGTATTCCATTTGGTGAGGTCCATGCGTCTTTTATGTTTTAAAAACGTATTAGCAATGAAGAAGTCATTGGTCTCACAAGATTGTATCATGCAATCTCCAATATCATTTCCATCACCAAGGCCATATTTTCCAACTACCGATCCTAACTTTTTTTGTTTACAACTTTGCGTTCCAATAGCCAGTAATTATCAACACATCTTAATTGAATGTTTCCTCAATTTCAGACTAAAGAAGTTGGTAGAATTTTTCAATTTCATCATTACTGTGATTTTATCTAAATAGATGTGTCCTCTTTATAAGCATGTTTTGAAATTGTACATGTGAAATACATGATTCTAAAAGTGTGGTCCCTAGACCATGTGCATCAATATCACCTGGGAACTTATAAGAAAGGCAAATTATTCATTCCACTCCAGATCTATCTAGTCAGAGACTTGGGGGGTGAAGTTCAGTAATCTGTGTTTTAACAAATCCTCCAAGCAAATCTGATGTATGTTAAAGTTTGAGAACTACTTTAACAATAATTAAATGAAGGGGTTTGTAAGCATATAAATGAAATAAGACTGGCCATGAGTTGATGATTATTGATGATTATGGGTGCATAGGGATTCACTGTATTTTAATACTTTTGTATGTATTAAAAATTTTCTATAATAAAATTTTAACAAAAATTTGGAGCATAATTTAACAAGCACTTATACTTACCATGAAGGATCCCTGGTTGTACGGTTGGTTAAGCATTGGACTGCAAACTTCAAAGCCAGTGGTTAAAACTTACAAGCTACTCCACAGGAAAAAGATGAGAGTACCTGCTCCTGTAAAGATTTACAGTCTGGGAAACCCTATGGAACAGTTCTACTTAGTTGTATAGATTCACTATGAATCAGAATTGACTTGACAATAGTGCGTTTGGATATCCTTATTATGACAATTGGTTGTAGTTCCACTTCAATACATTTTGAAGGAATAACAGAATGATGCTCATGTACTAACTGGAAGGTCTGCAGTTTGAACTTATCAGCTGTTCCATGGGAGAAAGATGTAGCAGTCAACTTGCACAAAGATTTACAGACTTGGGGACAGTTCTGATCCGCCCTATTGGGTTGCTTGATAGCTGTGGTTTAAAGAGAAAAAGAGTAATAATTGAAGACTTTAGTTTGTGTCTATTCTTTTTTGTTTTCCCTGTCATAGGAGAAGGAATTAACAATTGTCAAACTAACAATTCATCTTTACATATATTCTGAATTGAAATTCACTTTACTATTTAGATAAAATGTCCAGATAATTATTTCTTTGGACTCTTGGATGTTGTTGTTATTAAGTGCCATTGAGTTGGTTCTTACTCATAGCAACCCAGTTAGGTTAGAAAAAATAAAAGTGTTGATACTATAGTAAAGCTTTTCTAGGTATGGTTTAGAATACCTTATGGTTTTTAGCTGACTTGTCCATTTTCCACAGCAGTAATGCCTTCACTTGAATCCTGGTGTGGCATTGTAGGCTGAGCACTAAACTGCTAACTGCAAGGTTAGCGGCTCAAACCCACCAGTGGCTCCTCAGAAATACTATACAGAGTAGGACAAACTTAGTGGTATTTAACAACAGCAAAAAGAATGTCTTCTATAAGATGTTTGACCTATTTTTACATAAGTCTGTTAGAGCTTGGGTTGTTTTTTGTTTTTTAACTTGAAGGAGTCACAAGTTTAGATTACAGGTTTAGATTCCACTTTTAGCTGCAATCTGCCCTTCTGTGTACCTATAAAGTAAATGTCATGTAAATAGGAACCCAGGATAGGGTTACTTGTTTTCAAAAGGTCATGTACCAACTGCAGTTGCTAAGTGTTCTTGTATCTAAGGATGTTTATAACAGTCGTGTTTCCATTTATTTCTGCAGAGTGTAGTGAAGCTGATGAGGGGACTACTACACTGCATGATAAGACAGGTATGACTGTTGACAGCGTCCTCTCTAATAAAACTGTAAATAAAACAATAAAACCGTATTGTTTATAGGCTCTATTATTTTTTTTTAAATTTCACAAATAATACACACTAATTTTAGAAAATTTGGGAAAATCAAGGGGAAAATGTTTCTAGTTGCTTTTTTCCCCCTTTACATGATTTTAAAAAATATTTTTCATCATCATTACTGTACATACAATTATGTGTATTGGGCAAGAGATGATACAAGTCTATAAAGTGAAAAGGGATACAAGTCTGTAAGCCCTTGGGTAGAGATGAACTTTAGAATTCATAAATCTTAAGATTTTAAAAAGATTTTTGTTGTTGTTAAGTGCCTTTGAATCTGTTCCCACTCATAGCAACTCAGTTTAAGGTTTCTGAGGAGTGACTGGTGAGTTTGAATCACCGACCTTCTGCTTCAAACTGACCTTGCAGTTCTGTGCTTATCCTACAGCACCACACCAGAAGTAGTGCATATGCCATGTACTATCTTATAACCCAGGGATGCCAGGAAAGTACACTGTAATCAAAAAATTATATTTGTAGGGCCATGAACATATTCAGACCAAGTGGAATAAATGTTGTTGTTATTGCCATCTAGTTGATTCTGACTCATGGCAAACTTTTGTGTGCAGAATAGAGTTTTCAAAGCTTTCAGAAGAAGATCACTAGACCTGTCTTAGGAGGCTACTCTAATTGGGTTCAAACTGCCATCTCTATTAGAAGATCACTTCACTGTTTGTGGCACCAGTGAAATAAACACTACAAAAAAAGTTTCATGTAAAGTTTAATCAGATTTTGCCTACAGGTGAATTTTTGGTGCAAAGTTCAAGGATAAAAAACACTTTTCAAAGTGGGACATTTGTAACCCAGGGATAGTTAGCAGTTTCTGGTGAAAAACAAAACCAAAAAAACAAGCACAAGTTAATAGTTTTTCAGTTGTAGGTCAGGATTTTACTGTTAATTTTGGGCTTGTGGGTAAAAATTATCCTTGAAATAAAAGAAAGATGTCTGTTTTAAATTTTATTTCACACTAGGAGTCCTGGTTTGGTGCTGTAGGATAAGCACTGACTGTTAACTGCAAGGTCGTCGGTGGTTGAAACCCAACAGCTGCTCCTCAGAAATCCTATACAGGGGGTTGTGGCGCTGTGTGTTAATGCGCCAGACTGCAAAGCCATTTGAGCTGCAAGGTTGGCGGTTCAAGCTCACCAGCTGCTCCTCGGAAACCCTATACAGGGTCACTATGGGTCAGAACTGACTACACCACTTAACAACATGAGTCAGAATTGACTCCACGGCACTTAACAACAATTGCCATATATACCAGATGCACATGTAATCAAATCTGAGTTTCAGGAATTAAGTTCTTTCACTTGCCTTTTGCCCAGTGGTTCAGCTTTCTGTCAGCTTTTCTCCATTACTCTTGGTAAGTCTCTCTAGTTCCTCTCAGTTCTCCTCCAAAATACACTCTTGATGAATTCACCTCAAAATTTTGACTTCTGTTATCTCTTACTAATCTTTTCTCACTCAACCACTCTGAATCTGTTTATATTTATCCAGTTAGTTGTGATTGAGTTGTTATAATTCATGGTGACCCCATTTGTATCATAGTAGAATTGTATTCCATAAGATTTTAAATTAGTTTTTTTAAGTAAATCACCATACCCTTTTTCCATGGGACCTTGAACACCCCACCTTTCTGTTAGCAGTGTAGCACATTAATCATTTGCATCATGTAGAAACTTCAGTTTATATATTTACTTTGTGGAAAACCAGCCATCTGAAGAGTGAGAGAGAGTCAAGGAAAAGGAAATAGGTAGTTTTGACTGGTATTATATTCTAATTTAATTGTTTAAATTAAAAATAAGTAAGTAACAGATTTCCCCAGTAGCATTAGTTTAGAAAAAGAAGTAACAATGCATTTTAAACATACCCAATTGCCTAAAGAAGGGATTTAATGGTATTTGCTAGAACACGAAAGAAGTGTAGTGCATGAGTTGATTCTCCTGAATTTAATTAATTGTTTGTTTTTTTTAAAATTTCAGGTTGATAAAGTAGAATCCTTCAAGTATAGTCAGAGCACCAAGGATAGCCTCCATGCCAAGTACAACACCAAGACCTGTGCCACTGTAGTGGGTGATGATGAATGGGGACACCTGCAATTGGATGCTACCTCTGTGTACCTGCTCTTCTTAGCACAAATGACTGCTTCAGGTTAGTATAAGAATAGAAGTTCTGGGAGTCTCTGCAGTATGAAGCAATTGCTCAGCCTCACATGGCTCTGCCATCCCTGGTGTACTCAGTAATCTTCAACAACAGGATAATTCAAAGGCAACAATTCTTCTATGGTCTTTCTTACTTACTGTTCAGCTTTTGCATTATATGAGACAACTAAAAATAACACACTTGAACATTCTCTGACCTCCGGAACTTTGGACTTGAGCTAGTAGCCTAATCTATTACCTGCCAATCTTGGGAGTCATCAGTAACCTGCCTGCCTACCTAGCTGCCTGCTTGCTGTCTGACTTGCTTATCTTAGTTCATCTGATCTGGACTTGGGACTCTCTCACCTCTGCAACTGTATGAGCCACTGCCCTGTTGTAAATTTCTCTTTATATATGCATATCTAAAGTTTCACTAATTTTGCTTCTCTAGAGAACCCACCCTAAGACATTGGGTACCAAGAGTGATTCTAAAGAAACAAAATCATAAATATGAGCTTTCTAAACTGATTCTTGAGTCTGATTAATTTTAAAGGCACTGGTAACTCTCAATCCACTAGTAAAGAGGTTAAAGATTCTGCTAATCCATGGTGTGAGCTGGAAATATTAATACACAAAATATGACCAATAGATCAAGTATTGGAGAGAATCAAGGTTCTAGGTAATCATGTGTATGATACTTTTCTGCAGTTTTGTCAGGAAGAGAAATGTAGAGAAGCTGGTTGATTGGTCCTACTTACAATAGAGCAAGTGGTAAAGGAAAGAGACAAACTCTGGATTAAGGAGCCACAGTGCAAGTACTAATCGCATCAAAGACCTCAAAGTTTCCACTAGTGCCCTGAAAGAAAGTCTCATTTTTTGTAGTAGCAGAGCTGACATTGCCAAAAAGTGGCCAAATTGCAAAGCCAGCAGAAGTTCCAATCCCAAATAATGCCTCATTGGGAAGAAACGGGATCCTGAAGCTTGGGATGGGGTCATATGGGCAGATAATGAGGAAGTTGGGGACACTAAGCCCATAAATTCTGTTGAATCACTCTTGCCAGCAGCACCACCCTTCCCATCTGAATAGATTACTCCATTTTTGTCTGCTGATCAGTTATCAATAAAACCATTATCCCCTCTGCCTACACTTGATGAGATTAATCCAACTGTGCCTTCTGAGATGATGCTTAAGGCATTGTCTAGGGCATTTTCTAAGGTAGATGTTTTACATGACATTGCTGAATATTCTCCCAAAACAGCTCCAAACCAGGACTCCTAGTGTGAAATAAAGTTTAAAACAGACATCTTTCTTTTATTTCAAGGATAATTTCAACAGCACATATAATTAGACTTCAGTCCCAGCAGGCCCTAAAAGATGAAGTACAAAGTGTGACTCAGGGAGAAGTATGCTACATTCCAAAAGAACTGCTTGATTTTTCTAAAATGTACAAACAGAAGCATGGAGAATTGTGTGGGAATGGGTTTTAAGGATGTGAGATAGTGGTGCAAGGAACATAAGGTTGGAGCAGTCTGAATTTATTTATATGGGTCCACTAAGTACAGATTCTTTTTTTAAATGTTTTATTGTGAATTATGTGATAGTTTGCAAATAATACGAGAAGCTGGGTTCTATGAAGAAAAACGTGGCGTCAGGATTGGAGGAAGACTCATTAACAACCTACAATACGCAGATCATACAACCTTGCTTGCTGAAAGTGAAGAGGACTTGAAACATTTACTGATGAAGATCAAAGAACACAGCCTTTGGTATGGATTGCATCTCAAT